AACAAGTGGAATAAGGGTGTTTGAAGATTGGCTTTGAGAGGTCGCCATGGTTTGCTACACATGTTTTACAACTAGCTACAGGCAAAGGCACCCTTTGAGTCTTTCAGTCTTCTCTTGAAATCACTCAGTCGTTAATTCCTAGAGCAAACGCTGCTTCAGGGCCCAGCCCAATCCTACAGGGGGTGGACTTCAGTGTTAACTCTAAGAAATATTGAGCTACTGCAGAAAGCTGTGGAAGCAATTTAATAGCACTTCCCTCTGGGGCTCTTTTAAACTAATAGTCAAGAGCTTGGGACTAGCAGAACATTGTGTATAGCTGGAGGTGTTTATCTTTTAGAGGAGACTTCAAAGAAACTGCTCACTCAAGTTCTGCTGTCACTTTTAGAAAAGTTTGATACTTCATTCCCTGGGCATCAAGTAGTGTGACTGTGAAAACTGAAATTATCCGTTGGGACCAGCTGTCTCTAGATGAGTGTGCTAGATTGTACTGCCCACAGAGTGCCCAGATTTCATGTGGGATGAATCATGACTTGAGAGAAGTGCTTCAAGAGAATGTAAAGGCTTCAGTAACATATAAAATGAAAATTAAATCATTTTAGGGTAATATCGTTAGAAGTTTTTGGTTTGGTTTTAACTAGGAGCATTTGAGTACCTGATACGTGCCAGGTACTGTCTTTGGTATTTAAATTAAGTCTTTTACTCTTAACTACAGCCTTATGACACAGGTTTTGTCATTATCCTCATTTATAGATTAGGCAACTACAGCACAGAGAAGTTCAGTAATTTTCCCAGGGTCACATAGCTGGAGCTTTCTGCATCAGTTTCCTTCAATTTTTCCTCAGTTTTTACAATTGAAATAATAGTAGTACCTACCTCTTATACTTTGGGTTGGGTTTTTTGGTCAATTAATGGTGATAAATTCATAATGATCTCCACACACACACACACACACACACACTTTTGCCTATTGTCTTTTACACCAAACTAGAAAGTGAACCAAGGTCAAGGTAAAACTAACTTTAATCAGCTCCTTAAGGGCTCTAACCCACAACCTTAGCCATCTTAGCTATATGCTTTCCCATTGAGGCCAACAACAAGATTTGTTTTTTCATTTTTGGCCATGCTGCACGGGTTGCATGATCTTAGTTCCCCGACCAGGGATTGAACCCAGGGCCCCAGCAGTGGAAGTTCAGAGTCCTAACCACTGGACCACCAGGGAATTCCCACTTTGTTTTTTAAAAAGCTAAAAAAAAGAAAAAGAAAAGAAATGAGAGACATTCATTGTTTATTCCTCTGAGGGAAAAGGCTGACATAAGTATGTGGATGTGGGCAAAAGATTGAATTGTTGTGTTAGTAACTGGTGTCTGCACATCCATTTCTCACATCCTCTTCCCTTCAGAAGCAATTTCATTGGCTGCATACATTCTACAAATGTTTGAGTGACTTCTAGGTACCAAACCCTGGTGGAACAGAAAGAAAAATATGACAGAACAGGTGGTTGATTTAAGCCACTACTTTCAAGGAATTTAGAGGTTGGTATGAGAACCAGACATGTAAACACGTTAATTTCAGCACTTTGTAATGGTGTGTACAGAGTTAATGTTTCAACCTCTCCTGTAGCAGATCTATATAGTCATTGAGTCATGCATCCACAGTGTCTCACCTCCAAGGAGAATTTTCAGACCAGCAGTAATGGAAGCATCCAGGATATTCCTGGCAGGATACGCTCTGAGAGTCATAAAAGGTGGGAGAGCCATAAAAGGTGTCCCGATCCCTAGTCGGGACATGAAGCTGTTTTTGGTCTCTTCTCAGCTCAGCAAATTGATAAATTCCTTTTTCTTTCTTGGGTGAAATAATTTCCATGTTTAATTACTCATATCAGTATTTTAATATTAACAGACTTGCAAATAAGTATATTAAAGGTCTTTTGCATGGTTTAGATTATCTACTTAGAGTTCTTGCTTTATTTTCTCACAAACAGAAGGGTTCAGTGGAGAGTGGAGCAAGCTAAGGGGATGAGGTCCCAGGCAGTTTCACATTCAAATACCCCTGCCTCAGAGGGCAGCAGACTGCTTAACATCATCACTGAGGCTTCACCTACATATTCCTAAAGTGCTCACCTTTCAAGCCCTAAATTTTTCTAAAGGGAACTATTTTTACAGTGATATTATCATTTTGACTTAATGTTTTTTATTTTTAAAATACACAAAGCCATTTGTAACAAAAGTAGGCTCTTAACCTGTTTTTCAGTTTTGTTATAGTTCTCTCTACTGCAGTTATTAATATTTACATTTAAAACACTGTCTCTGTTTCTGGTGGATTTCTTGTGTAAGCACGTGTTAAGTTTTTTCCATGTTTTTTGCACCCTGTCATTGATCATAAGCCACCTGATGCAGAGGTTTGAGGAAGTGTTCTGAACATCTTTACTGGCATGCCTTCCAAACTTTGTTTTTCTTATATTCTTTTCTTTCCTAACATGATTCATTAGCAGGCACAGTGTCTTAATTAGAGACTAAATTTTTTTTTCTCTTTGGGTCTTATTCCTGTAATAAGTCATATATTTAACTGTACCAAGGCAGAGCACTCTAGGAAAGTCTCAGCCGCTGTCACATGCAAATCACTTGTTTCCTATTCTAATGAACACAGAGGTCCATTTTTCTCTGAAATGGTAAATGGTTAGTGCTGTATTGCCTAGATAGATCCCCGTGTTGTACTTAATACTGAGAAAGCTGCAAAGTAATGCTTTGACTTTGGAAGTTTGACAGTGAAAGATATTTTTCATCATTTTGGGCTCAAAACATTTATTGATAAGTAACATTTGCCTGTATTGTTGAGAATGATAGTACCCCAAATGGCCCATCAGGGTATTAGTCCAAGTCCAGAGAGACATAAAAGATTTAATTCATCACCAAAAATTCCATCTAACAAGGATCCTGTTGGCAATGGTGAGGCCATTCTTGATGTTCATAATGATGCTTAGACACTTCATGACTACTCTGGGAAGTACATTATAGAGTCCAAATTAACTATCTCTAATGACGTTATGGTAAATCTGCATGTCTGAGTTTATGCGTCATTTAGCTGATAGGTAATGACAGCTTCAAAACCTCTCATTAAGTTGATGAATGATAGCTTTTCTCTAAATCATAATGGCTCTTGTAGTTCTTTGTTTTTAGTTAAATGAATACCTTTTTAGGAAAAAAAAAATGTTCATGAGGTGAATTCTGGTAATGTTTTTCCAAAAGAAGGATATCTGTATTATATCAGGTGAGGTTGGACTTGACAGTTGCCATAGTTTAACTGCTTGAAAAAGTGCCCACTAGTATTTCTACATCCTTCTTTAATGCACTGTCTGCTTTTGCATGGCATGGTGGGAAGATTGAGTGGAGAGAAAAGAAAGGACAAGAGAAAGAAAGAAAGGACTCAAGGGATAAAAGAGACATGGTTGGGCCAAAAGAAATCATTCCTTCTCATCACTACATAAAGTTTTGCTGAAACTATGACTAAATTTTCCAGACATAGCCCTAAAAGGGTGGAACTCCTCCATGAACTGTAAGAGAGAAAAGGGATTTGAGTAGATATTTGAGTACCTATTGTTACCTGGTACCATGTACCATGTGCTTTTTATACATTAACTATTTAACCACATTACGAAACCTTTTGAGGTAGGATCTAAATTGACATCATATTTTTTCGATGTTTTCAGTTAAAATTCAATTCAAAAAAATACTTCTAGTACCCACTGTGTGCCCGGCTCTGGAAATGTAACAATGAACAAAGGCCATGTCCAAACAGACATTCTAGTGGAAAAGACAGAGCAAATAAGAAAACAAATAGATACACAAAATGATTTCAGGGTGTGATCAATGCTTTGAAGAAAAATAAAACATCCTAGAGGAATAAAAAGTAACTTGAAGGAGGGGTGTTTTAGACAGAGTAGTCAGAAAAAGAGGTAGTAGCGTTTAAGCAGAGACCAGGATGACGGAGCCATGTTAGGATATGTGAGGGAGCAGTGTTTCAGGCAGACGATGCGACAAGTACAGAAGTAGCTGGGTGGAAGTCAGCTTGCTGTGTTCAAGCAATAGCAAAAGAGCAGTCTGGCTGGAGCCAGCTGAGCAAGAGAAAAAGTGGTGGGACATAGTGATGGAGAGGGAGCCAGGGCAGAACATGGAGGCCTTATAAGCCATGGTAAGGCCTCTGAATTTTGTTCTGAGTGTGTGAGAAGCCCTGGAAGGGGTCATACAAACAGGGAGGTACCCTTTAGAAAGCTCACTGTGGCTGCTGTCTGGGAAATAGACTGTAGGGGACCTCAAATAGAAACAGAGTCCAGCTAGGAGGATGTTTCAGAGTCTCTGTCAAAAGATATTAGTGGGGTTTTGTCTGTTTGTTTGTTTTTTGCGCTACACAGGCCTCTCACTGTTGTGGCCTCTCCCATTGCGGAGCACAGGCTCCGGACGCACAGGCTCAGCGGCCATGGCTCAGAGGCCCAGCCGCTCCACGGCATGTGGGATCTTCCCGGACCGGGGCACGAACCCGCGTCCCCTGCATCAGCAGGCAGACTCTCAACCACTGCGTCACCAGGGAAGCCCATTAGTGGTTTTTTTAAAAGATCCCCAAGAGATTCTTATGTGGATCCAGGGTTGAGAAACGCTGATTAACATTTAAGAGAAAAGAATTTCACTGAAAGCTTATTACTGCTTCTTCAAAAAGAAAAACATATGAAAATATTATTAAACATTTTTGCATATTTTTTAAATGTTTGATTTAGGATATATCCCAAATCCTAACCATTTAGGATATATCCTAAATCCTAAAATTTGATTATCATTTCTTATCCGTGAAATAACAGCTTTAATATATTCTGCTTGTATTATTTTAAAACCATTTGCGTTTGGGTTCTGTCTTGTTTTGTTTTTGAGTTCTGTGTCTACTTTCTCCTTTCGCCTCTTCCTCCTTCACCCCTCCTGTTTATCTCTAATCCCTCTGTTCTTCCTACAAAGGAACTTGGAAAATCCTGGGAAGAAGTTCAACTGGAAGATGATCGGGAGTTGCTAGATCATCAGGAAGAGTAAGACTTATTATTGATGCTACTTAATTACAGTGGTTTAAGAGAAGGAAAACAGTTCCTTAGTTTGATTTAAAATTACCATTCTGAAAAGACAGAGTAAAAAGAAAGAGAACCCTCTCTCTAAGCCATGCATCATTTCATGTAATATAGCAGAAACTTGAATTCAAAATAACTTCTCATACCAGTCAGAATGGCCATCATCAAAAAGTCTGCAAATAATAAATGCTGGAGAAGGTGTGAAGAAAAGGGAACCCTCCTACAGTTTTGATGGGCATGTAACTTGGTGCAGCCACTGTGGAGAACAGTATAGAGGTTCCTTAATAAACTAAAAATAGAGTTAGCATATGATCCAACGATCATATATATCTGGAAAAGACGAAAACTCTAATTTGAAAAGATAAATGGGACTTCCCTGGTGGTCCCGTGGTTAAGATTCCTGGTCAGGGAAGTTCCACGTGCCGTGAGGTGTGGCCAAAAACAAAACAGAAAAAGAAAGAAAAGATACATGCATCCCAATGTTCATAGCAGCGCTGTTTACAGTAGCCAAGACATGGAAGCAACCTAAATGTCCATGGACAGTTGAATGGAAAAACTGTTTGTGGTATACAAACAATGGAATATTACTCAGCCAAAAAAAAAAAGAATGATATAATACCATTTGCAGCAATATAGATGGACCTAGAGATTATCGTACTAAGTAAGTCAGACAGAGAAAGACAAATATCATATGATATCACTTGTATGTGGAATCTAATAAAATGATACAAATGAACTTAGTTAGGAAACAGAAATAGACTCACAGACAAAAAACAAATTTATGTTTACCAAAGGGGGAAGGGAGGGTAAATTAGGGGTTCAGCATTAACAGATACACAGTCCTATATATAAAATTGATAAACAACAAGGTCGTACTGTATAACACAGGGAATTCTATTCAGTATCTTGTAATAACCTATAATGGAAAAGAATCTGATAAAGAATATATATGTATATAAAAGAATATGTATATAAATATATATGTATATAAAAAGATTTTATTCATATGTGTATAAAAAACGGAATCACTTTGCTGTACACCTGAAACTAACACATTTTAAATCAACTATACTTCAATAAAAAATAATAATCATAATACCAAAATAACTTGGACATAAGAATCACTAAAGCAACTGTTATTCCAACTAAATACTGTTTTGCTACTAAAGCTATTCATTGAACACACAGGTAGTATATAATTCAGAGAAAAATATATTCCAAATTGCTTTGCTTATTAGTCCATTGGTCCCTAGACCTTAAAGTGATATGATCTTTGAACTCTCTCTCCATGCTGCTTGCCATTGGAGTAGTGAATATAACTCAATGGAGGTTAACCTTGTTCTGTGTTCATCCCGTTGATGACTAACGAAAAACAGTCACAGCTTCTTTGTTTGAAATTATAAGCTTGAGAAGTATTCTTTTCAACCTAAAAGGATTCCCTGTTATTCATTCTCTTTTCATTCAAAGCTGTTCAGCCTTTTGTCTCTCCCAGGATTTTGGTTCTCCTGGTTTAGGAATGACAAGAAGTTGACAGTATCTCAAAAAATAAATGCAATGAGGGGAGAAAATGGTAAAAAGGGCCCTGTATGCCTTTTGATTTCTCTATTTGCCATCAGATTTAACACTTGCCCCATTTAAAATGATCAGTATTTCCCACATGATAGATAAAGGTTTGCCTTTTTAAAATACGCCATTTATCATGCAGAAACACACTTCCAGCACTGCACCTCACAGCATGCGCACTTAGTGGTCATGGTTAATGAGAGAGAGCTTACATTTCCTGATATATCTTCTCTGCAAATTAAAGCTGGTTTTCTCAGAAAGACATTGCACTGATCTCGTAGTGAAATAGCTGCTCGGAGAGGCGAATGTAAGAAAATGGAGCAGCACCTGTTTGCTATTTATATTAATTTCATGGTGCTACTTTGAATTTCAAAAACTGTATCAAAAAGTCATAATATGATACGACAGTCTTTACAGAAATGTCAGAGTTGAAAGAGAATGGCAGGGTTTCCTAGGGAGCAGAAAGTAATACCAAGTCACTGTGCAGGACGCCCTCTTAATGAAGAGAATCTCCATGTTTGCTGTTTTCTTTCTAACACAGTGACTGGTCTGATTGGGAAGAACACCCTCTCTCTGCTGTCTGCCTATTTTGTGAAAAGCAAGCAGAAACAATTGAGAAATTATGTGTCCACATGGAGGTGAGACACTTTTTTTCATTTGAATTTTGTTTCGTTGTTCCAACAGGGAGAAGCTGATGATAACTGCAGCCTCATCATCTTACACCTTTAGTTTCTCAATTATTTTCCCCTTCCTAAAAGTGCTGTAAGCAAAACAGAAGAGACAGGGCAGGTCCATGGAGGCGAACTAGAACTCAGGGCAGTTAAGTTCAACTGACTGGACCTGGGTGAACTGTTAGTTTGGGATTTCACAGACCACTGATGCCATCCCACCTCTGAGATGCTTATGAGATAGTTCTGGCCTAGACTGTGGGATCTGCAACCACGATTAACAATACCCAGGATATGGACAGGTTCTGAGTCTTTTTCCAGTGCTTCCCATGCTGGTGAACAAGGAGAGCAGAAAGAGAAAAAGATGCCGTTTACAGAGCCCTTGGGGGAAATGGGGGTGGGGGAGCCATGGAGGTGGAGAGGGCACAGGGTGTGGTCTTGCAGCTCCTTCAGTTAAAAGGATTTGGAGAGAAGAAATTTGAGGACATTTCCAGTTTGCACTTTCCTTTCTGGAGGCCATCTTTATGTTATATTGGGAGTAGAGAGTTGAGTGTAATAGAAAAATATTACTGTATTATTCTGATGTGCCCTCCCTCCCCTCCCGCCACTCAGCTCTGTCATAGTGGAGCAGACTCTCCTTTTTCACCCATGTGCATTCCATTCTCATTTATAAAAACAAGGACCTGAAAGGTGTTCAAAAGGCTATGGGTATTTACTCAAGTGAAAACAGAGTCATTTTGTCTGAAACAGGTTGCTACTAGTATGTGTGTATAGTTTCCAGTGTTTAAATGTAACTCATAATATCCTAGTATCTTTGAATTGAAAGGAGCCTTGGTCCCCCTATCCTGTGTAAGAATTCCCTTTGCAGTATCCTTGACTGGTGTCCTCAACCTCTGCTCAGTTACTTTCAGTGATAACATATCATGGAATTCTTAATTATCCTGACTGTGATGCTACACTGAATACCTTCACGGGGAGTTAGACGGTCTTTATTCTCTGTGAGCTTATAAGTTGAAGCATTTACCCAGATGGGCGATTGCAGGGATGGAACAGAATAAAAATAAGTCTATGCATCATGAAAATCAAGACATGCAATTTGTGGGAAGGTATGAGTGAAGAGAAACTTGCAGATTTAAACACTGTATTTGACAGCATAAAACGAAGAGCAGAATTTTTTAAATTACCTATCTGCTTGTGGAGCAAAGGACCTATATTCATAATTCTAGTCCAGACACACAGTACAGTAGGGCCACATCTTACCTAGCGACTGAGGACACTTCTGTCAGACTGCAGAATGCATACAGGGTAAATTTGTAAAGACTGGAGATACAAGCTGTGAACAATTAAATGTTTTAACTGATTGACATGACTTGTTTGGACTGTGCTTTATAAAGCAGTTGGATGTGGGGGGAAGCAGTTAGATTTAAAAGACTTCAAAAGCAGATGATGAACCGAGACTGACTTTCTACAGTGTTCACACTCCTGTGAGTAAGCTGTCTGTTTATAACTTCAGCCTGAAAGATTAAATAATTTATATGCTCACAGATATATTCATTCCTTTTTTTAGGATGCACATGAATTTGATCTCCTCAAAATAAAGTCAGAACTTGGTGAGTTTGATTCGGAAGTTGTTTTCCATGATGCTGCATTTTTTTATACACCATCCCGTAAACGATGCCTGCGTTGCACGGTTGTGATTGGAGAGTGCACAGCCAAAATGTGTCTCTCCACAGATGGTCTCAACAGAACTGCCTGAAACCGTGATTCACAACCATTTTGAACTATAATATTCACATATGGTTTTGATTTCATATAGTCTTTCTTCTTTTCTGCATATATGATTGCTTCAAATAAAATACAGGTTAATGGTTAATATCATAATGTGGGGACTAGTGGAAAAAACGTGGATTTTGAAGTCACACTAGAGTTCATATTCCAGCTCTAGCACTTACTGGGCGTGTGACATTGGGCCTCGGCTCAGCAGAATGTTACAGAGAGTGGATAGAGTATGTAAAACACTGCTGCGCTGCTTGGTAGTGTAGCTAGATTATTTATTGTAGATGTACCCAATTGGATCACTATGATAGAAAGATTAGGGTCATGAAGACATAAAGTACTGACTTGCTAATGTATCCAAGACCATAAAAAGCTCACTTCCCACACCTCAACTCACCGACTACTTTCCTAGACTCTTGGACATGTTACTTTACTTTACCGCTCTTAGAGGCATGTGTATATGTTATATATGTAATAGATTAATAGTCAAGAACATGGGCTGTGGAGCCAACAGCCTGGTGTCAAATCCTGGCTCTACACCTACTGGCTGTGCAATTCTGGGCAGTTTCCTAATGTATAATGTGGATACGGTAACACCACCTATGTGATAGGGTATTGCGAGGATTAAACGTATTAATGCATGGAAAGTGATTAGAACAGTGCCTAGCACATAAGCCCTATATAAGTATTGGCTGTTATTATTTGATATCTATTAATATGCTTTAAAACTGCACTGCCTCTTCAGGTTGGTTAATAAAGAGAAGCGGTTCTTTTAAAAAATTATAAAAATGCAAAAATGGGTCTGACCAGTTGTCTGATGATTCTGCGTACTGTCATTTTCAGGACTGAACTTCTATGAGCAAGTGAAACTAGTCAATTTCATTCGGAGGCAAATTCACCAATGTAGATGTTATGGCTGCCATGAGAAGTTCAAGTCCAAAGCAGACTTAAGGACTCACATGGAAGAAGCTAAACATACTTCACTGCTTCCTGAGAGACAGACATGGGATCAACCACAGTGAGTACTGCTCAACCAGACATACATTTCTTTGCTGCTTCTCCATTATTTCATCCCTTTATTTAATTCCTCTTTAGAAAATCCCAGATTTATGAGAGGCAAGGTCAGCCCTGGATTGACCTGAGACCCTGTTCCTATAATTCTCATTCAGGTCGAAACCTTTAGATTTCAGAACTAACTACAAAGTGTGTCCAGAGAAGGAACCAGAGTAATAGACTTAAAATTCTTTAGATATTTTAATGTTTGATAATTTATAATGAAGGAAATAGTGATGATTAGGTTGGGGGAGAGAAAAAAAAAACCTCACAAGCAGAAGCAGTTGTTTTTATCAGATACAACTGATAAAAGGAGCAGTGTATGAAAGAGTAACTGTATTTGAACTTTGTTAACCTTAGGGAAGAACCGGGCCCTTTGAGTAGAAATGAGAGAGATGTCATTTTTAGCTTTATCGAGGAGGTATTATTTAATAGCTAGAGTTGCCTGATAGTGGAGTAGGCTGCCTTTTAAGATAGCGAGTGTCTTGTTATGGTAGATATCAAGCCAAGGCTGAATTGCCAACTAGCAAGGATACTAGTAAGACTGATTTCAGCCAGTAAAGGTCAAAGTAAAAGTAATTCAGGAGTTCTCTCCCTTACAGCCTTTGCAAAATGCAGTTGAAATTGTTGGCAAGGAAACCTAGCAAAATTATAGTGATGTGTACATTCAGCTGCCTAGAAATTTTCTGGATAATATATAGTTTTGGTTATTCAGTATGTCTGTGGTTGTTTTCAGGTATTATTTTCCAACCTATGAAAATGACACTCTGCTATGTACCCTGTCTGACAGTGAAAGTGACCTGACAGCTCAGGAACAAAATGGAAATATCGCCATCATTAGTGAAGATACATCTAAACTGCATGCTTTGAAACAAAGCAGTATTTTGAACCAGTTGCTACTACATGAGTCCTTGAAAAACTAGAAGAAACTGCCACAGAAGCAATGTTTCATGTTTTCTCCAATGAGACAGATGCAAAAGAATACTTTAAATTTGAACATCAGCAAAGGATTAGTCTTTGGTAAAATATATATATATATTTTTTAATTGGCTGTCTTGGGTCTTCGTTGCGGTACGCGGGCTTCTCATTGCAGTGGCTTCCCTTGTTGCGGAGCACGGGCTCTAGGCTCACAGGCTTCAGTAGTTGTGGCTCATGGGCTCTAGAGCGTGGGCTCAGTAGTTGTGGCACACGGTCCTAGTTGCTCTGCAGCACGTGGGATCTTCCCGGACCAGGGATTGAACCCGTGTCCCCTGCTTTGGCAGGCAGATTCTTAGCCGCTGCATCACCAGGGAAGTCCAAAATAAACTTTTAAAAAACTAATTTTTTTCCCAAAAATAAAGTAGAAACTAAATAAAATGAAGACTTTTTGTATATGGGCTCTGAAGTTTTGTTATGTAATCATTGTAAATGATCTCATTTCATTAGACTCATATTTATCTATAATAAGGAAGACATGCCAATCACAAAGAAGTGAAATGTTCAAATTATTTATAAACCTAATTTCAACCAATAGTTTCAGTCTCTTCCCCACAGGCTTTCGTCATCCAGCAAGTCACAAAATTTGACAGACGTGTGCTTTCTGTACTACACTGGGTCAGCTGTGAATGTAGTGACCAAAAGAGGAGCCACAGAAGAGAGGAACAGTGGTCAAAGTCCTGGATGATGCACAAATCGGACACTGTTTCGGAAAAATCAAAATCTGACTATGTTATTATTATTGCTTTCCACCTGGAGTTATTAAACTCCCTAGAAATGGACATCAAGACAAATAACTTTACTTTCCCCTACAGTGTATATACGGCTAACAGATGAGTACCATTTTTTTAAAAACAACCACAATACCATTATGACATCTAACAAAATTAACAATAACTTCTTAATATCATATGTTTTCGGTTTTCCTTAGTTGTCTCAAAAATGTCTTTTTACAACATTACCAGTTACAGGACAAATATTGTATGCCTCCTGATAAGATGCAATGAGGAAGACAAAACATCACCTTTCAGGGTTCTTCCCCAAAATGTATAATGTGAATATACTGAAGAAACATCAACTAAACCCAAGTGAGGGACAGTCTACAAATAATTGGCCTTTACTCTTCAAAAAAATCAAGGTCATGAAAAACAAAGACTGAAGTAACTGTACCAAATTAAAGAAGACTAGAGAGGTATCACATTGTGTAATCCTGGATTGGATCCTGGACCAAGAAAATATGGTTTTCTTCTGCTGTAAAAGATATTAGTGGGACAATTAGCAAAATTTGAGTAAGATCTGTAGTAAATGTTATGGTATTCATATTAATTTCCAGATTTCAGCAATTGCAGTGTAGTATGTGTAAGAATGTTCTTGTCTTTAGAAAATACACACTGAAGTTGTTAAGGGAAAAGGAGCACTTTGTTGGCAATAAAAAACTAATATGGGAAAAAAAAAAAAAAACTAATATGGGGAATTCCCTGGCAGTCCAGTGGTTAGGATTCTGGGCTTCCACTGCAAGGGCCCTGGCTTTTTTTTTTTTGGCTGCAGTGGATCTTTGTTGCTGTGCATGGGCTTTCTCTAGTTGTGGCGAGCGGAGGGCTACTCTTTGTTGTGGTATGCAGGCTTCTCATTGTGGTGTCTACTCTTGTTGCAGAGCACGGGCTCTAGGCTCACAGGCTTCAGTAGTTTTGGCACGTGGGCTCAGTAGTTGTGGCTTGCAGGCTCTAGAGTGCAGGCTCAGTAGTCGTGGCGTATGGGCTTAGTTGCTCCACGGCATGGGAGATCTTCCCGGAGCAGGGCTCAAACCCATGTCGCCTGCATTGGCAGGCAGATTCTTAACCACTGTGCCACCAGGGAAACCCAGGGGCCCGGCTTTGATCCCTGGTCAGGGAACTAAGATCCTGCATGCCATGCAGCGCGGCCCAAAAAAAAAAAAAGAAAACACACACACACACACACACACACACACACACCTAATATGGGTATGTTTATATAGAGAGAATGATAAAGTAGATGCAATAAGATGTTAACATTTGGGGAAATCTAAGTGAAGGGTATGTGGGAATTCTTTGTACTATGGCAACTTTTCTATAAGTAAAAATAGATTTTTAAAAACTTTTCAAGATGTCTTTTTACTTGGTTTGCTTAAATCAGGATTCTAGTGAGATACATACTTTGCATTTGGTTGGCGTGGTCCTTAAGGGTCTTATGTATAACAGTTTATGCTCCCTTTCATTTTAACTGCCACTTACTTGTTAAAGAGATTAGGTCATCTTTCTCACTTTCTGAATTTGGATAGCGTATCCTCTTTGTGTCATTTAACATGTTCCTCTATCACCAGTTTTTCCTGCAAACTGGTATATCTAGAAGCTCCATTAAAAATTTGTGTTCAAAAAAATTTTTACAAGAATAATTCATAAGAGATGTGTGCTTTCTCTCACATCACATCAGGCACATGATATCTGATGTGCCACTTATAGGGATGTCACAATTGATCAGTGCGTTCAGGCGCTGTCAGTCTGGTGCATCATTATAAAGTTCCCCATCAAACCATTTTAATATCCACTGGTTTATGTTATCTAGAATTTTTTTTAGGGCTTGCAAAATGGTGATCTTCTAATTCTATGATTTCTTTACAAATGCGTACTTTACACAGCATGTGTACTAGAGAGCACTGGAGTCTGAAGTTCTAGTTTTCAACTGTTAATGCAAGCCTGTATAGGCAGTGCACCAAGACTAATCTTGAAGTCATGTGGTACAGCCTGTCCTCAATCTCAAGAGTAATCTCCCACCATGTGATCCACAATTGACTGGATTTGTAAATTATATGAGCTGTGGCCAACGCTTTAGAATCCAAGCCTCGAGCTGTGCAGACACCCATACAATGCTTTTCATTGAAAACCAGCAAACAATAAATGGGAGCCTTTATTTAATGAAAAACCTACCGTTGTTTTAAAACCAAAGATCAAGAAGGAAGTTAGTCCTGTGCCTAGAAACTTGTGTCTCTAGGAATCAGATTTGTTCAGAAAATCAAGGAATATCTGGGGTGTTTCTAGAATGTGCTTCAGTCTTAGAACAGGACCAGTGACAGGATGAGAACAAAATAAATGAAGAGTAAGTAAGTTTAAGAAGGAGAAAGCGTTTTTGGAGATAAAGTTGAGATTTTAGAGAACAGATCCAACAGATATTAAAGGAAAAATGAAATTGAAGATAAAAGGGACAGGATACTGTACTTGGAGTTTCATTCATTTAAGAGGTTTTTTTCTTAGGTTGGTAGATATTTGGGGGGGATCATCTGGAACATAAGGACAGAAATAATAACTTAGTTCCAAAGAAATTGAACAAGAGTATAAGCAAAGTCTCAGCAAACTGTACTGACTGTCCCAGAGGGAGCACAGATACAGGCCACTACTGGCAAAGTGCTCTCTTAGAGCCACGCAGAGACTCCTTGGGAAGAACCACTGGTGAATTGCACCTTAAAGACTGGGACAGTGGTGCCAAGTGTACCTGAAAGTCTGGACCATTTGAGAGGGGAATAGCAGTCAAATGCAAGTAGACTGTTCGGGGGGTATTGAATGAGTGTCCAGATGTCGCTGTGATTGTAGGTAAGGACGTAAGTGCTGTCTGTGCCCAGAGTGGGCACACCTGAGAAATTCTGAGCATTAAGACTCTAAAGGAGGGCAGCAAGAAAGATGAAGCATAATAGAAGAGAGTGAGCAGGGCAGGGATAAATGGAATCAACCCTGGATTGGCTGTCAGCCCAGTCAGAAAATACGTGCTGATTATCTCACTCGGAAGAGTGAGAGTGCTCAAGATTTTTTTTGGACAGTAGTTGCCTTTGACAGACCAGAACCTAGTGACTTATCTCAGAACAGAAGACCCCGTTAGACAAAATCTAGATGAGAAAGGTAACATTATCTGGGCCAGAAAGGAGAGAAAGTTTAAGAAAAAAAAAAGGAAGGAAGCATCAGATCCTACAAATACTGTTAGGCCTATATGTGTTAGGGAAGGAAAGGGAACAACTTAAGAAATAAATTATACTGTGACAAACTCAGCTGTTCCTCCCAGAAAGGTGTAGAGGGAAATCGAGCCCTAGGACATATCCACTATTGCTGGAAAAGGCAGAGCCGAGAGAAATACTGCTGGAGGCTGGGCCAATCAAAAGCAGGAGAAGGTGGTGTGCTGAGGAGGGCTCTCCAGAAGTATGTGTCCTCACCAGGGCAATTAGTCTGGTAGTCCAGTTGCCCCCAGTATTTATATATGTCTTTAATAATAATAAGTTTAGTTGGGTATATGGCTGCCTAAAATGAAGACTACATTTCTCAGCCTCTCTGGTAGTTCAGGGTATAGGCATACCTTGTTTTATTGGCACTTTGCTGTATTGCATTTTTCAGATGCTGTGTTTTTTACAAACTGAAGTTTCATGGCAACCCGGCGTCAAGCAAGTTTATCCGCGCCGTTTCTCCACCAGCATTTGCTCACTTCGTGTCCCTCACATTTTGGTAATTCTCACAGTATTTCAAACTTTTTCATTATTACTATATATGTTATGGTGATCTGTGATCATTGATCTTTGATGTTACTATTGTCATTGTTTTGGGGTGCCATGAGCACCCCAAACCAGCCCATCTCTCTCCCTCTCTTCAGGCCTCCCTATTCCCTAAAACACAACAATATTGAACTTAGGCCAGTGAAGAGCCCTACAGTGGCCTCTGAGTGTTCAAGTGAAAGGAAGAGTCACACATTTGTCGCTTTAAATCAAAAACTAGAAATGATTAAGCTTAATGAGGAAGACATGTTGGAAGGTGAGAGAGACCAAAAGCTAGACCTCTTATACCAAACAGTCAAGTTGTGACTGCAAAGGGATAGTTCTTCAAGGAAATTAAAAGTGCTACTCCAGTGAACACATGCATAATAAAGCAAAACAGCCTTATTGCTGTTGTGGAGAAAGTTTTAATGGTCTGGATAGAAGATCAAATAAGCCACAACATTCCTTTAAGCCAAAGCCTGATCCACAGCAAGGCCCTAACTCTCTTCCTTTAGGAAGCTGCAGGAGAAAAGTTTGAAGCTAGCAGAAGTTGGTTCATGAAGTTTAAGGAAAGAAGCCATCTTCATAACATAAAAGTACAAGGTGAAGCAGCAAGTGGTAATAAAGAAGCGCAGCAAGTTATCCAGGAGATCTAGCTAAAATAATTTATGAAGGTGGCTATACCAAACAACAGATTTTCAATGTAGACAAAGCAGCCTTCTACTGGAAGAAGATGCCATCTAGGACTTTCATAGAAGTTAATGCCTGGCTTCAAAGCTCCAAAGGACAGGCCGACTTCCTGTTAGGGCTTAATGCAGCAGGTGACTTTAAGTTGAAGCCATTGCTCATTTACCATTCCCAAAATTTTAGGGCCCTTAAGAATTATGCTAAGTCTGGGCTTCTCTGGTGGCTCAGTGGTTAAGAATCTGCCTGCCAATGCAGGGGACACAGGTTCAAGTCCTGGTCCAGGAAGATCGCACATGCCGCAGAGCGGCTGGGCCCGTGAGCCACAACTACTGAAGCCCGCACACCTAGGGCCTGTGCTCTGCAACAAGAGAAGCCACCTCAACGAGAAGCCCACACACCGCAACGAAGAGTAGCCCCTGCTTGCCGCAACTAATGAAAGCCCACATGCAGCAACAAAGACCCAATGCAGCCAAAAATAAATAAACTTATTTAAAAAAATAATAATTATGCTAAGTCTGCTCTGCCTGTGCTCTGTAAATGGAACAACAAAGCCTGGATGACAGCACATCTGTTTACAACATGGTTTACTGAGTATTTTAAGCCCACTGTTTAGATCTGCTCAGAAAAAAAGATTCCTTTCAAAATATTACTGTTGGGCTTCCCTGGTGGCGCAGTGGTTGAGAGTCCGCCTGCTGATGCAGGGGACACGGGTTCATGCCCCGGTCCAGGAAGATCCCACATGCTGCAGAGCGGCTAGGCCCGTGAGCCATGGCCGCTGAGCCTGCTCATCCGGAGCCTGTGCTCCGCAACGGGAGAGGCCACAACAGTGAGAGGCCAGTGTACCGCAAATATATATATATATATATATTACTGTTTGTTGACAGTGCACCTGTTCACCCAATATCTCTGATGGAGGTGTGCAATCAGATTAATGTTGTTTTCATGCCTGCTAATACAACATCCATTCTGCAGCCCATGGATCAAAGAGTCATTTCAACTTTTAAGTCTTATTATTAAGAAATACACTTTCTAAGGCTATAGCAGTCATAGATGGTGATTCTAATAATGTATCTGGGCAAAGCCAATTGAAAACCTTCTGGAAAGGATTCAGCATTCTAGACACCACTAAGAATATTTGTGATTTACGGGAAGAGGTCAAAATATCAGCATTAACAGGAGACTGAAAGAAGTTGATTCCAGCCCTCAAGGATGAGTTTGAGGAGTTCGGGACTTGAGCGGAGTAAGT